CGTCCAGAGTTAGTGACCTCAGCAAATTGGAGCTCAGCCATGGTCAGTATGATAAATGATCTTATTCTGGGTCAAAGAAATGGTACCCCACAGGGAGGTGTCCACAAGGCGGCCCGGGAAAGCGCTGTGCTCCTGCAGCACTGACCCCTTAGTGACCAGTGCCACATATATCTTATTTACTGCAGACCAGAAGGGAATTTTCCATGGTTCAGCCTTTATAAGGTTCCCCTATTTCACTGAAATAATCTCCCAGATCTGCAACCAGGGCAAGAAAATGGGTGTAATTACACCTTCTGGGTGCCCTTTGAGGTTGTGTGCGAGTTTGTATGTGGGTTTTAAGGCAGGGGACACAGAGATGTCTGGTCCTTGCATGTGTGTCTAGGAGCTACCTGTGCAGCTCCCTGGGAGCCAAGGGCTGTGTGTCCATGTCAGCTGCTATCAGGGTTGCACAAAATCCTTCCATGTTTCTGCACCTTTATGAGTTCATTGTGAGATCCTTCTACTACAACACCCAGCTTGGTGTTTCTTACTCGAGGCACCTGGTTTCTCTCTGCACTCAGTGAGTGCCCTCTTTTCTGAGTTGTCACTGATGGATCTGTCAGGCCCAGGAGGTTTTATTGAGCTAGGAAAGATCTATGGATTTCAGCCCTGCTTTTGAGGGTGCAGATGAACCCAGGCACTGCTAAAAGGCACTATTAGATGCATTCCAGTTGCAGAGGAAGCTCAGCAGATTCTTCATGAAGGAGCAGTTGGGGCAATGCAGGTCAGGCCTTGGAGGATTTGCAGGAGGACAGAGCAGACTGTGCAGTTCTGTCTGCCACAACCAGGAGTGTTTGTGATGCAGCTGGGCTGAACAGGAGCCGAGGCTATTGGGTTTTGTGTGCACTCACTGCAGTTCCTGCATCCTGTCCTCTTGCGTGACAAGGCAATGACTTTGTGTCACTGCAAGCACACATCTCATTTTCCTGAGCGCTGTGTTTTGCTGGGTGATCTGTTTTCTGCATATATTGTGGGCTTCAGCTCTCATCTGTGCACTTGAACTAAACAGTTTTCTCAAATGTTTGTCAGTTTTTCTTTTTATTGATTAATTTTAGATTATTTTTCCTAAGAATTTGGAGAGGGTTGATGTGCTGTTAGCACAGGCAGCAGAAGCTGCCTTTGTGTAGAAATAAGACAGGGATTTCTTACCATGTGCTTCAGTCCCTCCTTTGCAGTTTGAGAGTATTTCCACTTCCTTGGCTGGTTCAGTCTTGCTTCTCCTCTGATGCTGCCAATGGTGGGGACAGTTAATGAGAATTAAGAGTGCATTTTTGGTGTGATAATTGTTTTCTGTGAGTGAAATGGGGTAGGCTACCAAAAAGATTTCAGTATGACCATGCAGCAGTGATAAAAATACGTCATTACTGGGATGAGCTGGGTTCAAGTTGATGATGCTGGAGCAAAATGCTGTATTGTCTCAGCTCTCACCTGCACCTCCCTCCGGAGCCAAAATGCACAGCAGGTTTTACAGGAAAATCACAGCACCTGTAGTACAGCTGTGCTCCTGCCAAAGCAGATGCCTCTGTTCTGTGATGGGAGCCAGCTCCAAACCAACACAAGTGTGAAATCACTGCATTGTAACGATGGTTTAACTTGTCAGCAGATGTGGTGCCTGACCAGGCTGAGATTTTTTCCTTCTTTATGTGTCATCTCTAGAGAACCTGCTGTTTGCATAGAAAAATCCTTGGCCCAGGGAGCTGGAAACCTGTTAGACCCATAGCATAGTATCAGAAAGAAAATGTCTTAGGAACACTACGTTTGTCAACTGTAAGAGATAAGCAGTTGTGCCATAATTTACCTCTTATTATTTCCATCATAAGAACAGAGTCCTGAGCTGCTGATCAAGACTGCTGTTTGAGGCACTGAGCTGCAAGATGGCTTCTCCACAGACCACTTGCAGTGGAAGTAATCTTGTTCTTTTCAATATCTTTCTTGTGGGAGATTGTTTTGGTGTGGCTGTGGTCATCTGTCATCCTTTATAATTGATTTCTTCTAGTAATACTGGTGTATAGGACACGGAGAAATGAAGGTGGGTGAAAAAATTCAGTGCTGATAAAGCAGATGAAAGTATTGTCTTAAAGTTGGCTGTGGAGAAAGGGTCTTAATTTTTGTACCTTTTGTAATGGGCAAGCTCTAGGCGTGCATAGGGATGTCTGCATTTTTTTCCTACTCTTTAAATTCTTCAGTATATGTGTACGTGACTTCTGGATAGAAATAAATGCATGTTGGCTCAGGTGGGACTGAAAATAACATTTGTTATGGAAGGAGATGGGACGAGGGAGTCTTGGAGCTCAGCCTCAAATAAATCAGTCCTCTCGCTCCTCCGTCCAGGCTGCTTCTAGGTGGCTGCCTTTTATCCAGCTAGTGCAGCGCATTTCTGTTTAAATGATCTCTCCTGAAAGGTCCCAGAGGAAAGGGCTGCTTATTCCATGCAAGGAGAATGGTATATGGCACAGCTCATTGTTGTGCGCCCTGCTGCAAGTGCATAAATATGAAACAGCTCGCGGGTGATGCTGCAGTGGGGCTGGTGTCCCCTTCACACCCCCCTCCCTCTCCTGAAGGCTCCTCTCCATCTTCCTTCCTTTACAGCTTTCATTTCTTGGTGATGGAGAGCGGGAGCCATTTGGGTGTGAGATCCTGAGGGCTTGACGTTGCAGCAGCATTTTTCAGGGGAAGGTGAATGTAGTTAACTCTTGTTCTGATGGCTGACCGACCGCTGTGGTGTGTGTGTGTGTGTGTACATACATATACACACATATGTATGTATGTATATGTGTATATGTATGTAAATACACACACCTTCTTAGTGGTGCTCCCTGTCACCGGTGCATGTTGCTAGGAGGGAGACAGAAAATGGCCTATTTTGTTCTTATAACTACTTATCATTACAAGGCAGTTGTGGGTTGGCCCCAGGCAGGTGATCCAGCTCACCAGGCAGTTTTGAGGCACAAAGCAGCTCCTTTTGCCCAGAGTAGTGATCCAGTGCTTAGAGGTAGCAATACCTGTTGTGCTCTGGGCAGCCCTGTGGTGAAATTGGGGTTTTGGGGTCAGTGCTGGTTTGGAGACACCAATGCACTAGGAAAGCAGGGGGAACAGAGGGAATCTCAGAGCATCCCCTCCCCCTTTCCCCAGGAGAAGAGGCCCCCATCTGCTGCAAATGGACATATCCCCATTGCCTAGTTGATGTGCACCTGTCTACACCAGGGCTGTTCATCCTGGGTGTGACAGAAGCAGTGAGTGTGACATTATTTGGAATAACCCCAGTTTGGCTCTGGGTAACATCCATGATCCCATAAAATCCTGGGGTAAGGCCTGGGCTGAGTCAAGCCACTACAAATGCATATATTACTGCTGGTCATGAGCAAGCACATGGGGAATGGTACACAGAGTGAATTTAACTCAGAGAAGCATGTGTGGAAAGATTCCTCATGACTGCAGTGAGCTTACCTCACATAAGAAACCCATCCTGCCATCCCTGCTCCTCCTGGAGCGGGGCTAAAGCCCTCACTGGTGGATTTGTGCCTTCAGAAAGCTTCCTCGCTTCTTGAAAACAAACAAAACTCTTTTGGGGCTTTCAAAGGGCTGTTTAAAGGAGCCCCGGGAGAATAACTGATTGTGGATTCGGGATGATGAAGTGGTTTGTGGAACAGTGAAATATAGAGGCAAATGCAGGAGAACTCCACTTTGCAATTTGTCAGCTTCTCTAAACCCTGTAACGGATTGTTCCCCCCCTCTGTCTCTTCTCACCTCTCCAATAGGAAATTAACTGATGCTATCACTAAAGAAATTGTTTTTGCCTCACAAAGTAAAATTGATACTATAAAAACCCGCCAGCAGTGTCTCCTCCTCCTTTTACATGAAGACAGATCCTTTCTGTCACCTACTGAAATGGAAAGATAAAGGCTGAGCTTTAATAAAGAAGCTCTAAGCATGAAGTGTAGAAGGAGGGAGCAGGCACAGCATGGGGAACACTCCAGAGCAGCAGGTGTGATGCTGAGGGATGCTGTAGGTGTCCAAAATGCAACTATGGGCCAGGGACCTCCTGTCTGTTTAGTGCATGGCCATGGACAGGTTTGGGCCCCAGAGCTCCCTATGTCTCCAAGAGCTTGTGCTGGTTTTAGTCAAAAGTGTCTGTCTTTGCTCCGTTCAGGTTCTTAGGCTTGCTTGTTTGGACTTTTTAAATCTAATTAAGCACAATAGAGAATTAGACATAATTTGTTGGGTGACAAGATAATGTACAGGATATGGGATGTGTCAGAGACCTGAACATCAGGAATCTGCTGCCAGATTGGTGCTTCAGCAGGAGCTGCATTCATTCTTTGTGGGATGAGTTTTCTGTGGGAAATCTCTTCTGCCAAACCATAGGGACAGGACTGTGAGTTTCTTTGCAGCTATCCCCATCCATCCTGCATGTTCCTCATCTGCTCTTTCGTGGATAAACAATCACCTTGCTCTGGCATCACCAAGAGCCATCAGCTAGTTTGTAAACCCTGTCCTTCTTTCTTCCAGGGGATATCAGAAACCTGCTCAAGTGGATCAAACAGAATCTGTTGAAAGAGCGACCAGAGTTATTTATACAAGGGGAATCTGTGTGAGTACAGCTGTTAGCAATGCTCCTTGTGTTTCTCTGTTGATCCCCACAGTTTGGGGGATTTTTCCTCTGGGGCAGATTTCCTATTGAGTAAGTCAATGACCATGAAAACACAGGAATTGCTTAAGTGATAGTGGGAGGTATCCCACCCACACCTTGCACTGTCCACAGAGAGCATCATTTGCAGCCCTCACCCCAAATCTTTAAACCTTAAACATGAAGCAGGGCCATTTATACTTGCTCTTCATTATCACTTGGAACAGAGTAGCACCTGTATCCTCAATTCCAGGAGTTTTAGCAGGTCTGTCTGTTCCCTGCTGACATCACTGGGACTGAAGCAGTCATTCTGAGAAATGCCAACAAATACTTCTTCTGGGAAATGTATTTTTATTATCAAAATGGGGCCAGTCTCGTGGAGGAGGGGGTAGGAAAAAAAAAAAGGAAGGCAAGAGAAATGGAGCAGAGTGAGCTGTGCAAGCCATCCCTGACTGCGGGGTGGCGCTGGGGGTGTTTAACATTCGTCACGGATCTTTGTGAGCTGAAGCATGTGCCAGGTCCCCTGGTAACAGGAGAGACAATTGCAGGACACTGAAGATCAAAGAGGGGGAATCCCTTTGCTCAGAATCAGGGGCTTGGAGTGGATCCCAGGTGTTTAGTGCTTCTGGTAGGGGCACCGGAATGGCTTTCCCTACCTTCACACTGAGCTCTCTGCGCTCGACTGTCGTGCGTGGGTTTTAATTACCTGGCTTTTCTGCATCGTACGGAAATGCAGTCATCCTGGAGCATCCTCAGGAATGGTGCCTTTTCATTCAAATGAGCTTTGGGATTGCTCCTGCGTCCCCTTTATTTGATCTAGAAAGGGCACAGACTGTACCTGTTTCCACCTCCATGCTAGGATCCCTTTTTTGGCTTTATAGGCAGTCAGCTTGTGATCTGTGCTGTGACATCCCTTGTTCTTAACTATTTGTGGAGCTTTTTAGTAGGCCTGTATCCTAATTATTTCTCTCTATTCTGCAGGAGGCCAGGAATTTTGGTGCTCATCAACGAGGCAGACTGGGAACTAATGGTCTGTACTCCTTCAGTTTGACTTTCTTTGTTGAAAATATTGCTCTCTCTGTTCTGTGGTTGCTCTCACAGAAGCTATTTGTGATTCTTGCCCCAAGCGAAGCATCTCATATTTGAGGGGGAAGGGGCAGGCTGGAATCTATCTCCTGTACTGTGGCTGTTCAAAAGCCTGGAGCCTCTCTCTAACCTGCTGAGTCTCATCAGCCAGACAGGGTCTGAAGAGAGATCACCCTTTTTCCCTGGTCTGTGGCACTGGGTTTTGCACCTCTGGCTGCTGGCTGCTCCCCCCACATGTGGGGTGACAGTGTAGAGGGCACCTGGGACCTTCCCTGAAGTCAGGTGGTGCCTGGCAGGTAAAAGGCCACAGGGAGATTTCAACTCAAACAGGCACCTGATAAATGTCTTCCTTTCTTATCCCACTGTTGTGCTCAGACAACAAACAGTCCCTCACCATTTCCCTGCCTCAGGCAACCACCTATTCTGTCAAAACCCTGGTCCAGAAAGCGATGTGGGGTGATGAGCATCAGCACTGTGGCTGATCTCTCACCTTTGCTCCTGTTATGAAGAAAACATCAGTCTGTCCCCTTCTGCTCTCCCTAATACTCACCATCTTTTTATGAGCTGTTTTCTCTTTGCAGCTTGTATTTGGAAATGACATCTAAACAATTTTTCATTTTTTTTCTTGGCCTGCAGGGTGAGCTGGATTATAAACTCCAGGACCAGGATAATGTGCTTTTCATCTCAACATTGCACGGCGGGTGAACTCCTGAAAAAACAAGAGGATGTAAATCCAAATCCCTGGGAAAAAAAAAACCAAACAAAAACCTTAACCCACCCAAACCTCTCTTGAACTGCCTGTGTCCAGTCTCTGCATCTTCCCACTGCGTTCACTTGTTCTAGACATCCAAATAAAGCCCCGCCAGCCTGCGGCCTTCTGTCCACCACAACAGCATCGTCTTTGGTCCTCATTTCACCTCTCCTGACTGCACTTCCAGGTACCCTAACAAGCAGAGAGCACCTCAGCATGTGGGACTTTGTTTTTTTCTCACAGGAGGAAGAGGGGTGCTGAACCCTGAATAGGATAACATGTCTTAACATGCAGTGAGGTGTTCTGGTGCTGGGAACCAGGATTCATTTAACACAATGCTTAACATTGGTACAGTCTCCACACCAGCCATGGGAAGGGTGGGAAAGTGTAAGGAAACAAAAGGTGGCTTGACTAGCTTTTCCATGGGGTAGCAAATGTGACAGCTCCAGAGCCCTCAGAAGTGACTTTCAACTTGTCATGATATTTATTTATGGGAAGCAGGAGAGAAATGGGCTTTTTTGGTTTTGTATTTCTGATCCCTCATGCTTTCATACCAGAGATGAGGCGAGTTGAAGTACTGGCCCATGAATATTGTCAATTTATAATGATTTGGATGGAGGGAAAACAAACCCTCACCCGGCCTGAGACAGCACAGAGTGATCAGGGCAGCAAATGATCTTTCTGTCACCATGATAGACAGAATTGATCAGGCTGCACTGCATTCTGTGCAGGTGGGAGCTGCAGCCTGGCTGGAAAAGGGCTGGGGCTGGAGATGCACAGTTAAAGTGCCAAGACCTGAGAAAGCCAGTGGCTTTTAACCCTTTGTGTCAGTGGGAGGAAAAGGCTTCTTGCTGTGTACCCTGAGGAAGTCCTGTGAGCACTGTGGTTGTGTGTGGTTCTGCTAGGGCACGGGTGGTGTTGGCTTTCCAGAGGTTTCCTTGGATAGACAAACAGACCCCTGCCAGCCAGGAGGCTACGGTGAAAGCAGAGGGATGGGCTCAGAGAGGATAGCATTGGCACCAACAGGTCTGAAACATGCTGCATGAGCTTCCAGGAGTGCCTGACCAGGACTGTCCTCCTGCGCTCCCCCCGCCCTGCTCACCTGTTTCGGCACGGCTCCAGCAGCATGCAGAGGTCCCCGGCAGCAGCTCCTGCCTGAGCCGCGGCTGGCGTGGAGCAGAGGGCTCGCTGGTGCTCAGTCGGTGCCTCTCAGAGCTGATCTGCACCATGTCCTGCTCTAAGAGCCCTCAATCTTCAGGAGCTGCTGAGGAGGTGGGGATCAGCCAGTGCACCAGCCCTGCTCAGGCAGCCTGGCCCAACACCGGAGTGCTGTGCCTGACCGAGGAATTCCTCTGTCTGATGCGGAGATTCCCTCAGCTGACTTCTCCACTGACTCCTCTCACGTCTACCCCTCCACAACCTGCGTAACTGAAAGCACCCACAGCCTGCAATGCTTCTGCATCTGAAGAACCCCAACTTCAACCCGCTGCTGGTGACAAATGAATATTCAGCCTTTTCCAAATCCAGCCACTGCAACTTGAGTCCGGCTCAGGCCATTTGTAAATGACACAGACGGGCCAAAGGCTCTTCTCTGTCCCAAGTTCCTGGCCCTTAGCTTAGCTGGGCCGGGACAGTGGAGGGGGATTCCAGGTGATGGTAGGAGCTGGCCGAAAAACAAGGAACCTGTGCGGCATGCGGCTTGAAATGGACTGAAACACAATGGGAAAAAGCAGGTTCATCTTCAGCACTGCTGCCTGCCCTTCCTCTACCCTGCCTCTGTGCCTTAGGCTCAGCTTGTCTGTTCTCATCCCCCCAGCTGTTTGCTCAGATAAGATGGGTTCCTTCCCCAGGAGCTGTTATTCCCCTCGATAGTGCAGGTAGACCCAGGTGGCTTAGCTCCTGCTGTAGTAAAAGCTGTCAATCACTGCTAAAAAAAGCTAGAAATGGGAAGATTAAGGAAGCCGGGGCGGGGTGGAGAAGAGGGGTACAGTAAAATCCTGTAACAACAACAGTAACAAAAAGTTTCTGAAATAAAAGCCTTTTAAAGCATTTCTCCCCTTCCAGCTTTGTCCTAGATAGGCTCTTGGTGAAATTCTGCTCGGATCTTGTAATGCTTCCCTCCTCCTCCTGGGTTTCCTTGGCAGCCCCGGCCGAGCCGTTTGGCTGGTGGATTCATAAAGCCTCTCTGTTAGAAGGAGCC